ACACACACACACACACACACACACACACACACACACACACACACACGCACACAGGCACACACTATCTATCCATCGCCTGTTTATATGTGTACCATGATAATACTGCTGTGTGCCTCAGCAGTAGCATTTGTTGGAAGGACGGACACATGCAGACATGATGCCTCCTTTGGAAGGCATGAGAAGGACAGGAACTTTTCAGGAGGTTTTACTCTCCGCTTTGGTCCTACGACCCAGATAATAACTTCAAAAATAACTTGCTTATTCTTTTGGTGACTCAGTTTTCACATCTGCCAAACAGGGTAATGGTCCTCTCAGAGTTTTAGTATCCCAGTGACCTGCGTAGAAACCATCTAGCATAGCCCGTGGCATAGGCATTTGCTGAATGGTAGCTATTGCTATCATTATCAGCTTATATAGCAGGAGAGAGCATTCTGAGTAATTTAGTGTTCCTAAGTCATTTATGATTGCCTGTATAAATAGCCATTTGTCAAATGCCAAAAGACATATCCTTCACTCACTCAGTGAATGGATGTATTTATGGCACAATGTCCATGTGTCAAATAACTACACTCTCTCCTGCTTCTCTTTTTGGAAGTTCCTTGCTGTGACGGCTGCAGAGCCACCATACTTGAACTCACTTTGTTGGCAGGGAAATGAGAGCCAGGCTAAGAGCGAGGAAGTGCTTTGTGGATTCCACCTGGGCCTGGCTTCCTACAGGCTCTGTGGGTCATGCTACCTCATTGTGGCATTATCTGTGTCTGGCCTATGGTACTGTTACGGGGCAGCTCCTCTTGGGACTGTCCCAGTAGTATTTGCTAACACAGCTCTTCTCTGTAAAACAATAATCAATGGTGAGGGTGAAGAAATAAGTGCCTAAGTACTCTGCCTTGTTGCAATGTAAAACTCAGACTGCTTTGCCCTTTTACCAGAAAAATGACTGAAGTCATGGACAGACTGGCTCTTGGTAATCTCATTAGTAAGTTCTGGATCAGAGACTGAAAGAAAGTATGGTCTAACCCAGCTCTAGAAGTAACCATGGAAATTTATATCCCCAGAGTAAGCACAGTTTCCACTAGATGTATCATCTGTGAGAATCAGAGCTTCTGTCAAGGAGCTCATTTTTGTTTACTTAATGAATATGACACAGATTAAAGTAAACACTAAAGTTAAACAAGCAACATTTGCTGGTTCTTTGTTTATGGTTGTCAAAGTACTGTTGTGAACATAATTTAATTCAATACCATAGCAATTGCTTGAGATACAATTCTGTAACGTATTATCACATACTTCTTCAAATGATGCAAAATGAAGCACAAGACGATCAATGACTCAGCAGCATCATTTCCCTGGTTGTAATATACATAGAAAGGTAACATGATGTAGTTTTCATTTCGCTGGTTTACAGTGACTTTCTGTACTAACAGAGCGTGAACTGGGAATCAAATAAACATATGGTTGCCTATTACTTATCCCTAATTACTGGCTTGGAGGAATTGCGTAACTTCTCTGAACTTATTTGTGGACTACAAAGCAGGGATTAAAAACCTGTCTTGATTAAATAGAAATCGGATACCAAGCTCGTTTGTAAGAAATATACAAGCAAATTCACCATGGTCTATAATTTCAGTCTTTTCTGAAAGTGACTGGTTAGCATAATAAGCAAAGAGCATTATAAATATCACACCCAACCTTCAACCTCAGAAAACAGATTCAGAAAGTTTACATAGAAACTGAGCATCTTTCTCATTAACAAAACAAGAGATAAAAGAATGACTTACCTGGGAGAGGTGACATAGAAACAGAAAGACAGGCATGGTATACACTCATGTATATATAAGTGGATATTAGCAATATAATATAGGATCGCCATACTAAAATCTACAGACCTAAAGAATCTAAACACTAAGGAGGACCCTAGGGAGGATGTTTAAATCTCATTCAGAATGGCAAACAGGATAGACACCAGAAGTGGTGGAAGAGAGAAAACAGGATGGGAGCCTATTATAGAGGGTCCTCTGAAAGGCTCCACACAGCAGGGGATTGAAGCAGATGCTGAGACTCACAGCCAAACTTTGGGCAGATTACAGGGAGTCTTATGGAAGAAGAGGGTGGGGGAGATAGAAGGACATGGAGGGGACAGGAGCCCCACAAAGAGACCAACAAATTCTGATCCCAGGGTGTCTTGCAAAGACTGATGCACCAACGAGGGCCATGCATGGAGAGGACCTAGACTCCCTGCTCAGATGTTGCCGATTGGCAGCTCAGTCTCCATGTGGGTTCCCGAGTAAAGAGTACAGGGGCTGTCTCTGTCATGAACTCAGTTGCCTGCTCTTTGGTCACTTGCTCCTGGTGATGCAGCCTTGCCAGTCCACAGAGGAAGAGGATCCATGCAGTCCTGATGAGACTTGATAAGCTATGGGCAGATGGCAGAAGAGGAGAACTCTCCCTTTCAGTGGACTAGGGGAAGGGGATCGGGGTTAGAAGGAGGGAGGATGGGACTGGGAGGAGTTGAGGGATGGAGCTTCAATCGGGATATATAATGAATAAATTGTGCACAAATGAAAATTTAAATTAAACGAGAATGACTTACAAGTCACCGATTTATCAATTTGGGAATATGAGTTCTTACATAGAACGAATTCACTCTCCCCATACTATGTGATTAAACTTAAGAAAACGTTAGAGGGCTGAAATGAATCTGTGATACATTTCCAGCAGCTTTAAAGTCAAAATAACACATTTCAATCAGATGTCTTAATCTGATTCTAATGTTAACGTAAAATAACAGGGTGCCTAAATTAATCCTGTTCTGTACAAAGAACACCTGCATTGGAGTTTCTCTAAAATATGAGCAAGCCTGACTATTTTCAAGGATTATATTAATTACCTGTGGTTGCTGTAACACCTAAGATTTCTGCTCCACTGTGTCTCCTAATTTGCCTTTCTTCTCTTACATTTTGTTACGAGCAGAAAGAAGATATTGGGTAACACCTTCAAAGCTCTGCTTGCCCCACTCCTTCACAAACGTCCAAGTTCATCACCCTCAGTTTCTGCTCATTTTCACGTGATATAGGCTCCTATTTAGCCAAGCTCCCGGTCACTTGGTAACATACGATATCTTCCCAACTTTCCAATCACCTGTGGCTTTGTTCCTGCAAGCTGTCAGGAGGAACACTTTCTGAGCCCGTATTTTTACCAGAGTTTTTTAGTGACAACATAAATATTCACAGTGATAACAGAAACCTTCGCAGAGTGCCTCACTGACCCTCAGCAACATCCTTAGCATCCATGCTGTTTCTACTGACATCTTTAAGACAACGTTGCAGGTGTTCCTATCATGATTGTCCAAATCCTGCCAGGTTCTGCCTTCTATGTAATTACAGGTTTTGTCACAGATCATTCACCTTTTAGTTATATGAGGAATTCTTGCAGGCTGTGGGAATTATTAAGTAACTAAATCTTTGAAGGGTCATTTCCATTAGTCCACCCCAAGAATGTAACAAGTTAAAGTAGGAAATTGCTATTATTTTGGAGGACGGCGTGCCTATATTTCTTTAAATATGGGACTCCCAGTAATTCAAAGGTAGGTTTAGTTATAACTTAGAGAAATGTTAAATTAGCCATTTACTCTCTCATTTTTTTTTCTTTGCTTCTTTTAAAAATCATGTTTGGAGCTTGTTTTCAAAGTTTTAGTTTTTGCAGAAATCAATAAAATATTAATTGTGATACTTTGTCATAAATTAAATATTGGTACTCAAATTTAGAAAATAATTACAAAAAGGAAAGACACCAATTGCAGGCTTATCAAGGATTAATAAAAAATGTAGTTGACTGTATAATCATCAACAGTTGAACAATTTTGGAAACATAAAAAGTAAATTCTGAAGTTTATTTTATAGGGTATCTCTGTCTCTCATATAGGGTTTCAGTACTCTGAAGCTGTGTTGGTGAACAGGAAAGACTGGAGCAATGATCATGGATCACTGAGAAGAGGATGGATAAGACTAGAGTGCAATGATTAGTTCAAGCCAGATGCAGGAACAGACAGAGTTTTGTAGACAATTTTGTAAGAAATCTTTAAAAAGAGAGAGAAAGCTAGCTAGATGGGAAGGGAGAAAATTTGTCAGCCTTTTCTTCTGCCTTTTCTGAGGAATGGAGTCATATTTATGGGTGTGAGGGATGGTACAGATAGAATTAAGAGCTGGCAAAAAAATGTCAATGATTGTTAAAATTATCAGTGAGGCAGGCTCTCCTTACGTTGATCAGCCTTATAGCAGCAGCAGCAGATACAACTGACAAATCTGTTCTCTTTAAGTCATTCTTGGTATTTTTCCAATCTCTTGAGATTTCATGCTCATCTGATTTCCACCCTTTGTTCAGTGGCTTTTTTCCTTCAGTTTTTTTTTTTTCTTAGCTTACTTCTGGTTCTTCATAACCGCTAACTAGGTGATTCTGATAGTTGGGTCTACAGCTTTGTCTCACCAATGATTCCCCCACCCCAATGCCCTTGTGGACAGCTTTATTGTTTCATTTGGGTATTACTTTCAACATTGCCTACACAGAGCTTTTTCCAGCCACCTTGTCAAATTCCAGCCGTTCTATTATTGTTATAGTTACCTGCATTTTTTTTTTCATAGCATCAATTTGTCAGTTTTATTTCCTTCTCTTCTATACCCAGTATTCCTGAATGTATATCGAATCTGCTTCCCTGCTGTATTACTGCAAGCTTGTAGGACTGTTGCACATAATACATACTTGATAAATCCTATTGAATAGATGAATGAAAGGACAGAAATGGAGTAGAGCTTGAAGTTAAATCTTGACTAGCAAGAGAGAAGATATGTTCCTCTGAGACAGGGGAAAAGGAGATAATAT